TATTTTATTAAAAATAATATAATAATTTTAATAATTAAACGACGTTTTCAATATGCCCTCCGTCCCACCTGTAAAGTACTTTCCGTCAAATAAATCTGCTCCTTACCTCCTCATCTGCGAGAGCAGAACTGTTACAGAGCGAAGAATCCATGGATTTCTCGGAGCAAGACGAGGACGTCTTCGGGGAGGATTTCAACAACCGCGAGCAGGATGCCCCACACCATTCATCCTCTTCTGCATCGTCATCATCATCGGCGTCTTCTGGTTCTTCTTCATCGTCGTCGGATTCATCTTCATCCAACGGCGGCGGCGGCGGCGGCCGTGGTGTTGATGGCGGCGATACTAGCAGCGCCGCCAGTGGAAGCGCGAGTAGCGGAGGGGAGGAGGAAAATGGAGAAGAAGTAGAGAATGTTAGGAGTGATAATTATAGATTTAATAACCGTGATCTCTTTGGGTCTGAAGATGAAGAAGAACAAGAACAAGAAGAGAATGATCTGTTTGGGTCTGATAATGAAGATTACTGTAAAACCCTGGCTATTAGTCCTTACCCTATTCCTGGTAATTTTGTATGCTCTCCTGATTGAATTTGGTTTTGAGATGCCGATTGTGGACTATGGCGTTCTTGCCCTGGGTTTTATTTAGCAGTATGTGGTTCTTTAGCTCTTTTGGTGCATTTTGTTTTCAATTATGATGGGTTTAGGTGAATATTTATGACTCTAGAGGGAGTGAAGCCAGTGCTTTGGTCTGATGCTCCAGTGATGTTCATTGGATGAATTCAGCCTCTTTTGTTTGTGTAGATATAAATTTAGAGAACCAGGCAAGAAGAGCAATGCAAAGCCTACTGGATTAATACTGTTCTAATGATCAACTACAGAAACATGGGAAGTGGGAACTGGTTTTGAAGTTAAAGAATGAAGGAATTTTAGAAAGGCTTTGGGGATAACATCATTCCTTGCACATACTTAAACCTTGTTGTGTGCATTAAATTATTGAATTTAGTTCTGGTTGTTTTTCATTTTGTTTCACCTTCTCTGCATTATGATTTTCATTCAATCTAATTTCTCATTGCTATTTTTTGGTAGTGTTGCCTGCAATACGTAATACTAACAGCCCAGGAAGAGGGGGTTTTGGACGTGGCCGCTGGAATGATAGAGGAGCAGGTATCTTACCACGTCCCAATTATCCCCCAAGACAGGGATATGGATTTGGTCCAAAATTTTCAAATGGTCGCCATGATGAACGATTTGTTTCTGAGTTAAAGCTTTCGAAAAGTGCAGAGACATTATCCCGAAAATGTATTGCTTTCCAGGAGGTAAGCCATTTTCTTTTCAGGAATCTTATGGGTCTTGCTTCCTCTGATGTCTATCCAGATACTATTCGTTGAGCCATCCTTGTCAATGCCTGGCATATAGCTTATGTAAATATCTGTGTTTTGATGTCTGTTACCCTTCTGCTAAATTTTCTAATTCGTTTATTCAGCCCTGTGAACTTGCTTGTTATAGCCGTGTTGAAGCTGGAGAAGTCCACTTTGATGATCGTAGCCTGGTAGGGTTTTTGGAAACTCTTCTTTGCACGGTTTTTTCTTTGTTCCTTCAATGAGTTTGTTTAGATGATTACTGCTTCTGAACTTTAGAACACTGAAACCACTTTTTTGTGCCACATTTTAAAAGAGGTTCTTTAAGCGGCTGGTAACTGAAGATGTTGGAGCTGATCTAAATGAAGGCTTTGATACCTTTACTGAGAAAAAAGGTAACCTTGGTACTGGCTTGCTAGTTGACATCATCATATTGTGTGGTCAGCTTAATACAAAAAGCACCAATGTTTACATTTATTTATATATTTCTTCTGGATTGTGTTTGAGGGCTAATATATGCAGGAAACTCTGTTTTTTTCTTTAAACCAGAATTGGGCTCTAAAGGTTTTGGTGACCTTCTTGCTTGCATAAGAGGCAAAAATATCCCACTTCAGAACATGCATTTCGTGGTAGGACAGAATCTTTGTTTAGATTCTAATTCCTTCCAAGCTGTTATTAAGCATAGATAATTAACATCTTTCCCCTACTTTTTACAGACATTCCGCAACAATCTCAATAAGGTAATTGCTTATCCCTTTATTGACTGATCTTCTTCCTTTTTTATTTTTATTTTCACTTTTTTAATCTAATGGGTGAAGGATATTTGTGGGTGTAATATCTTATGCTAAATTCTCTTCTTTCTCTTGTTTCTTCAGATATTGGCTACTGCTTATATTAGAAATGAACCTTGGGAAATGGGTGTGCACAAGCGGAAAGGTGTTGTCTATCTTGATGTTCATAAACTTCCTGAAAAGCCAAAAAGCGAGTTGGACCGTCGAAGGTATCAGACTCGCCTGACATTCCCCTTCTTTCTTTCCACTTGTATGTCTGTATGTATTACTCTTGTTGAAGGGAAAGGAAAAGGCAAACCCAAATATTGGGTGTTCTTCTGGCTTCATTTAAGAAACTTTTAAGCATATAGAAGAAAATATTATGATCTTTAACTTGTTAGTCTACTGCACCCTTTTAGGGTTCATGATGTCAAGTATTTACGTTACTGGGTGTTAATTTATTGATTTTCATTCACATGGCGACAAATTTCAGTGTACCTTGTAATTTATGAATTTCTTTTATTGGTTCTCTCATTGACTTGAACTGAAAAGTGTTTTACTATCCATATCTTTCTTGTTTAGATGCTACTGGGGATATTGTTTTGAGAGCCTTGCAACTGAAGATCCAAACAGAGGTTATGGTGAAGGGATACATCATGTAGATGCTAATGTCGAATACTGTTCTGCGATTAAAACCAAATTAGGGGCTCATCGTATTCTGATGGGTGCTGAAATGGACTGCTGTGATGCAACAAATGATGGGAGAAGATTTTTTGTGGAACTGAAAACAAGTCGTGAGGTAAGGAAATCTCCTTTTGTTTTCTCCAGGTTTCATTTTCTGCTTTGAAATTATATAATCGTGCTTGTACCATGGTTAAATTTATAAAAATTGATTTTTATGCAGTTGGATTACCATACTGAGGAAAGATACGAGAGAGAGAAACTGCTCAAGTTTTGGGTACATTCTTTTACTTGACTATGGATTGAATCTTTTGGTGGACTGTTTTGCCTGCATTTTCATGCATTGAAACCAAGAAGTTGTCCTTAAATTTCTTAATCTGAGTGCAGACCGAAATGCAAAATCGTTTGACTTTATCCTCTGATATTGTTATTGCATTGTTTTCTATAAGGTATATCAGGATAGTATGTTTATCTGAGGCATCCGTGGGTAACTTACCTATTATAATGAGAAATGTTTCTGCAAACATTTGACCTTTCTCATGTTGGTTAATGAACATGCTGTTTTGATATGGTAGTTTCTTTAGATCTTTTTCCTCTCTAATTCATTTTTATGTAGAGAATAATGTTTTTTTTTTCCTCTGTTGCAGATTCAATCATTCCTAGCGGGTGTTCCTTTTATTGTTGTTGGGTTTAGGTATTGCCCATTTCTACATTATGAAACCCTTTTCAACTGCCTTATTAAAGGGATTGCAGTAATATTAGTTAAGAGTTAGAATAGACATGTTGAAGAAAAGGATAAATATGCTTGTTCCAAGAACATTCTAAAATATGCAAGAAATGTTCAGTTCCAAGTGAGACCACTGGGTTTTCCTATTGCAAACCCCTCTGATCTGTTGCATTCTCGTATTTAATACAGAGATGATGCAGGCCGCCTTGTACGCACAGAGAGACTACGAACAAAGGACATAACCCAGCGAGTGAAATTGAAAAACTACTGGCAGGTAAGGTCCCAACTTTATTCTTTTCTGTCTACCTGTCCGATCGTCCAAAGATCATCAGAAGTCAGTCAGTAAATGTAATAAATATTGGTCTTTCTAACCTTACAATTCTCCTTTGAATGGAACTCTCTCCGGCAGGGAGGAGTCTGCCTGGCGTTTGCCGATGAGGTATTGTGCTGGCTTTATGGAACAGTCAAAGAGAGTGAGTTCCTTCTTCCTGTTCTTCAACCTGATTCAGTTAGCTTATACAATTTTCAGTAAAAGCAAAATGTTATCATTTTTTTTTTTTTTGTACATTTGATAATGATAGATTATCCAATAGAAAATAACCCTTCCCACCTGACTTAGGTTTAAACTCGATATCTCTAACTTAGAATCTCAAGCTCTTAACCATTGAGGCACCCCCTTTGGTGCAACACATTATCTTATTTCAATAGTTCCTTAATCTCAAAATTTGCAATTTGTATCTTCTCTCCCTGTTTCTATTTCATTATTCTCTGTACAATAATATGAAAAATCTTTCTGGGCAAATGCTTATTCGGTTCTTTTTTCTGTCTTCAGATGAAGATTACATATTGCAGTTTGCACCACCATTCACACGCTTAGAGCTTCTACAAGCACAGTCTTGCCCTGAAGCAATCACCAACCACGTTGAACAATTGTAGCCAGTCCAGGCTTCCTGATTCTTGATTCTTAAAGTTGAAATATAGAATCAAACCCAGTTGGTTAACAACCATAAATAAGATTTCTTTTGCCACAAACTTTACTGTAATTTTGAAACATTGGGGGATTAATTCTCCCCAAAGTGACTGCTAAGACTAGCAGGCAGAGAATTATTGTAAAGCCACGAACTTAATTCTTTGGCAATCTATTAACTAGTTCTGATTCATCATAAACAAATCCACACAGCATCATAACTTGGAAAACCCAAAAATTAATAGGACATAGAAAAGTTTTAAAAATAAAACCCAGTTAAGGGCCTCTTTGGATCAGTTACTAGGAGTTTTAGCTTTTGGACATTATTCATGTTTTATGAATTTAAATTTTCTTTTTAAAAACTTACATTTTAAAATATTTTTTTAACCTTAAATAGCTGTTAAACAGTAAAAGTTTAAAAGTTTCAAATCTAAATTTTTCATAAACTCTCTTTTTACTCTTTTTTTTATATCTCTAAAAGTAAAAATTTTATTTTTTTTTCAATAAAAATTTAAATTTATCATTTATAACAGTATTAAAAAAGTAAAAACTCTCACAAGTCACACCAAACAGGCTCTAAGTTCAACTAAACAGTAAGCAATACTAAAATTTTTAAAATTAACAAGAATTTAACCAAATTAATACTAATTTAGGATCAAAATAGAGATTGTAGCTAACTCTTTAATATATGTATATATATATAAATAAATAAAATTTAAAACTGAAAGAAAAACCCTAACTTAAACCCCAAGTATCAAACAAATGTACATTTGTTAGTGCACGGAAGGGTCTTTGGATTGGGGAACAGATCCACAGGCATTGAAAACCCTCCCTAACTCGAAGGAAACAAAAGCATCTATACATGCATACTGAATTTGTGCATAGGTAAGAGAATCATTATCCCATGGACTTAAGGTAACATTCATAGGCTTCTCCATGCCCCACTTCAAAACCTCCCACGCAAGCGCCTTCAACCCCATCCTCTCAAAATCCTTCCTGCCCCACCTCATGGCACCCAATGTTCGAAGATCAACAACATTCCTTACCCCCAATCCATAATCCTTCTGAAGCTTCTTACCGTCTCCACCAACCCCAACGCCCACAAAAGTGTAACAAGGATCAGCCATGAAATCAAAAAGTGAAACGGGTATCTCCTTGACGTAGAGGAGCTGCACGATGAGGCAAGTTTCCCTGGCACACAGTTGTAGAGTCGCCGCGGGGTTGTTGGACTTGATCTTGGGGTTGGGATTGGGACGCCATTCTATATCGAGGCCGATGAGGCGTTCAGTCTGCCGTGATCGGACGTTCCTGATCCAGAGATCAACCGTGGACGGTTCACGAGTGACAACCGTCTCCACGTTCCGTCCAGAGAAAGAGACCATATAGAGATCGGACAGTGGAGACGTCGTCAACAGCGGAGCAATGCTGGAAGTAGACAGCGCCATAACTATGGAACAGAGAAAGCATGACAAAATTTGTCAATCAGACGATCTCTAATATATAGAGTTTGTGATAAATAAACAGTTATCAGTCTTCTAATCGGTTACTGCTAGGGTTATGTATTTATTTAGTTATTTATTTTTAGTAGATAAGGTTCACTATTTCCCAAAGAAAAATTTGTTATGCAATTCATGATATTAACTATTAGATAAGGATTAAGTGTTAAGTTTTTTGTATTTATATAGAGTTTAGTTTTTATTTAATGATTTTTATTTTATAATTTAATATAATTCAAATTGTATAACAAGTTCTTTACTTCTTTTCCCTTAAAAAGTATATATTTATTATAATACAAGATTAAATTCACTAACTCAAAAATTTCATATAAATAAAATATAATTTTTAAGAAATTTTCTAATTAGGAATGTAAATTTGATTAGAAACTTTTAGAAACTGATAGTTTTGATTAGTAGAAAAATGTTATAAGCTTAATTAAAAAAAAATTTAAAAGATTATATTTTTATTTATACGGAATCTCACTAAGGTTACTTGTAAGATTTAAATTTTGGAGTAGTCAATATCTATAGAAATTAAGTTTGTTTAGAATATGTGAGGGAAATCTGGTTTAGAAATATCTTACCCATCCAAACAAAAAAATATGTGTGTAAGAATGCTGTAAAATTATTTAAATAATTTAATAAATCACTCATAAGTATTAATTTATTAATGATATTTAAGTTTTTACTTAAATATTTCTATATTTATTCTACATATATCCACCTGAAAATTTGTATCCCCAAATGTAATAGTAATAATCTAGAGTCTTACCCTCTTCTTATCTCTTTTGTCACTCCTTCTCTCTTCCTTTCTCTCATCTCATTTTCTAATAGTGAATAGAACACATAGGAATGGTATGTCTATGTTGGAGGAAAAGAAAATTTTGTTGACTTTGAAGAGCAATTTTGTAAGTGACAAATAACATACTTTTGTAAGCAGAGAAGAAATTTTATTGAATTTGGGAGGTAATTTTGTAAGTAGCAAATGACATATCCTTATGAGAGAAAACATTTCTTTGATTTTAAGGGGCATTTTGCAAATTTTAATTTGTTTTGAGGGCCATCTTTGCAGGAAATTTTGAAAAGGATTATTTTTGCTATAGTTCTATCATTTTGTAATATTAATAAATTTTTAGAATTTACTTAGTATAATTCCATTTTGATCAAAATAGAATCCCCATTGAGAAGTTCAAGTGACTTAAATAGCTATCTAAATATTGTTAAAGGACATCTTAACTTAAGGTGTGTGTAATTCAAATCTCACATCTCTCTTCTCCCTTAATTGTCCATGTTAAAATATATATATATATATATCCCCATTGAAACAAAGTGAAATAAACAAGTAAATGAAATCTTTGTTTACCCAATTTTAATAATCTTATTGACTACTCTATATACTCTCATACTTTAATGGGTTTTATTTTTTTATTTTTATTTTTTTTCACGTACAAGATTTCTATTCATTTCTTACCATTGCAAAGCTTTGATCCTTTGTTATTCCTTCTTTTCTTTTTTCTTGGTCGATTGGTCCCCCGGCGCTTTTTTTTAAGTGATTGCTTGTAGTCAAGTATAGCCATGTACATTATTTAGAAATTGGGTTTGTATAGATAATTGGTTTTAGTATTCTCATAATATCACCAATTTTTATTTTTATTTTTATTTATTTATTTTTTGATAAGAATAATTATTAGTAAGTTAATTTTTGTTAGTTGTTAGTAATTAGGGATTCGATTTCCAAATCTAGTGAACATTTAACCTCCTTAAATGAGGCGCGCAGTCGATCAACTGCTCATCATCAATTTTTATTTGACTGCCAAAAAACATGACTTTAATGGTAGGATTTAAATTTTATGTGACATTTTCTTTATGATGTGTAAAGTTTTACTTTTTCTCCTTTTTTTTTTATTTTTTATTGTTACAACATTAAAAAAAGTAAATAATTTATTTAGAGATCAAAGAGACAACTGACAATTTATTTAATAATATTATCATTATTCAATGTAATTTATCAAAAGTAAAATGTTATTTTAAACAAGAAAATTTTAATTATATATATATTTTTTATTTTCCTTCTTTTAAAACTCAAATACATCCCAACAACAGAGCCGGGTTGGGAAATTCTAGTAATAAAATCATTTTCGAATTTATTTTCACAAATTATCAGTTCGTGGAGTAAAAATGGTTTGTGGGCTTACTCCGTTTTTACCTCTCCATTTGATTGGGCCAGACATCATTTGGCCCATTACTCATGAACACCGAGTCATCGACTTGAAAGCATCGGTTATGTATATCACTGGTTTTTCTTCCGCAGCCGAGAACGGAACGGTCGGTTACGGTGAGAGAGTTGTCGGCGATGGAGAGGAAAGTGAAGGAAGAAGCAAAGGAGAGCATAACGGAGAGGCTGTCGTCTCTTGATGACCTCTACTTTCCTCGCGCGCTTCAGTCGTCGGCTTCCGATCCCTCCCAACGGAAGTCCATCCTCCTCGACCTCCTCTCTCGCGACGTCGCCGTCTTCTTAGGTATGAACCATTAGTTTTCTCCTCCTCCACCTAATTCTGTATTTGTATTTGTTTGATGTAAAGGAAAAGAAACTGTCTCTACATGTTTGATTTCTTGTTTTTATTTATTTATTTATTTATTATCGGATATATAGGAGAATCGTAAAAAATCAGTTGTACTGCCAAATTATTTGATGAAAATTTTAATTCTTCTTTTATTTAGATTACTTCGTAATCTGAAAATTTTCAATATAATATCGTTTTATTTGTGCTAGAGATTATTCATTATTGGAATTTGGGATTTAGTTGAGCTTATATAATTCCCATATGTTAGGATTGATAGCATTTTCATGAATGATTGAATTGTAGATATAGTGGTTCTTGTTTTTAATACCTTGTTTTTCTTATTGGAGATGATGTTACTGTTGCAGAACGATATGGAGCGCAATTGACTAGTGATGAGCTTAGGGAATTCGATGTTCTCAGTGAGGATTATGAGATAAATTGGCATTTGAAACATATAAGAAGCAAGATGAACCCAACTACAGAAGAGTTGAAATCAAGGTCGGTTAGAGTAAAGAACCGTAGGCGAGCTTACTTGAATAAGCTCATACTTGATGGGCAGTACTTTTCAGAGGATGCAATGAGAGAGAGGGAGCCTTATTTACATCATGAGTATGTAGGGAGGTTTCAGGACCCGAGTGGCAGGAGTATGGCTCGGCCAGGGGAGCGGTGGTCAGAGACGTTGATGAGGAGATCGGAGGAAGCTGTGCTGCTCGCTAAGATTAGGGAAGAGCAGCAGAGGCATGGTGTGGCTGAGGCAGACTGGGTTGGCAATGAGAGACGCCAACAAGAGGAAGAGGAAGAAGAAGAAGAAGAAGAAGAAGAGGAGGAGGAGGAGGAGGAGGAGGAAGAAGAAGAAGAAGAAGAAAAAGAAGAAGAAGAAGAAGAAGAAGAAGTGAAGAAGGCTGGCAGATGTGTGCATTCCACAGAGGTAAGATTTGGGTGCTTTATCTTCTTTTAACCAGTATATGCCAGTTAATTTATGGATGTTACTATCAAATATCATATTGTTCCACTCATATGATGAATTTGAACTTTTGTCCCTTGGGCTGGGAGTCAGAAAGCTGGGCTAATTTACTATATTAGCTGGTTGATGAGTCCTCACTTGATAAGCAGTGAAGTTGATGTCAACTAGTATACGTAACTATTCCAATTAAGTAGATTCCTTTACTCAGTGGCATGAATATTGTTGAATGATCTCCTCAAAGAGGAATGCTTTCTATTCTGGATGTCATTGTCTATTGCTATATTTGCAACTATGTAGAAAATTTTACTTTGTCGACTAAATCAAGATAACTTATTATTCTTTTGCGTATGGTGTGGTCCATGTGGAGAATGGACAACCAAAAATTGCTTTAACAAAAGAAAATAGAGCAGAAAGATTAGCCAATTGACATCCTAGGAACCTGTATTATCATTAATATCTTAAAATTTTCGACTCAGATATGTTGCTGTGTGCTAATGAATCTTCCTCTCATATAATGATGTGCTATTTTTTCTGATGTGAAATTTGAACTTGATTCTTGTCTTTGTTCCATATTAATTGAGATTTTACTTTGTGACTTTCAGATGATTGTGGACCATCCTGGTGAAAGTGCTTGTGCTCAATCCACCATTATGGAGCAAAAAGAGGAAATAGTTTCTTCGGAAGATATGCAAGATGGGATGGATCAGTTTACTTACATCATGCAGCAGAAGTTTCTCTCTGGGGGAGATCATCAGTATTTAGATTACTCAAAAATAGATGAAGATGAGACCTTGGATGATCATTGGCTTAGAGAAGCTAACCATGATGCTGAGGAGAAGTATTTTGCCGATGATTAAGAACAGAAGGCCAGATTAACATATAATTAAACTGTCAGAACTAGCCCTTTGTTCATTGGCAGGTATTCGATCGTGTAACTTTAAGCCTTTTTGTATGAAACTATGAATGGTATGTGATCAAATGGTTTAGAAAGTCTTGAGGCTATTGTGCATATCTGACTGTCATTAGGCCTAGATTTGGAATTACGTTCTTGAATGATTTGC